TAGTTGGTTATTTTCTATATCATTGTAGTATTTAAGGATATTTGAAAATCTTTGTATTTATGACTATATAATATAACCAGTGTGTAATTCAAATGTACTCTTCATCTTCAATGGTCTCGGTTTTCTTTTCCTTCTTAAAATGGTATTATACTTGATAGCTAGTGAGAACAAAGGCAAACATGTCATCGAATGTGTACAATGTAATCTGATGATGATAGAGAGCAATAGTTATTATATCACTACTAGAATTTATCACTAAAAGTTCACAAGAAAACTATAAAGAAAGAAGATAAATATAAATTCATTTCTATTGATGTTCATAAGTTAAAAGAAATACAAATTTATAACTTATTAATTATTATGGATGATTGTACAAGAGACATCATCTTATTGTAGAAAATTAAAATAAAAAACATTAAAATATAAATACAACAATATTTAAACTACATCTTATAAAATCTTTTAACTATTTAATTTATTTTTTGGGTCTCTCTAGATTCACTCTAATAAAATCTTTTAACCATTTAATTTATGTTTTGGTTCTATCTAGATTCACTCTATCATTATCATATTGTTCTCAATGGTGTGATGCATGATAATAGTTACACGGATAGACAGATAGAAGGAGAGATGTGGGATTGTTGAAAAAAAGTTGTTAATTGTAGAAAAATTAAACGGTGGCTAGGTGGAGGGGATTGCCCGGGAGGATAACTAAATGAATAAAAAAGTGTGTACGTGGGTTCTTGGTGGGGAGTGCATACATATTGTTTTATTTGAGAAGATTTGAGATTTCAAAGGATATTGATCTCACTCTTGTATTTTGTAACTATCCATATGTGACGTCCATTGTGCACAGATCCTAGCTGATTTTGTGAATGAGTTGCACCCAATTGGATAGTTCGATTCATGTCAATGGGTCTTCTAATTGTTGAGGAAGGGCCCAACAGTTTAGTCCTTAACTTTAAGCAATCACTTTGTATTGTCTTCAAGGCTTCCAACAATCAGACCGGAAACGAAGCTCTGCGGCTGTTCTTCAGTTGGCAAACAAAATGAGTTAAGTCGTTTACCAGAGTGATTCGTAGGTAGCATCTGAACAAGTTAACAACACCATGCATTTATTACTTCTCTTTATTTGCAACCTATTACCTAACAGGGTAATCAAAGATAGAAGTTCAAAGATCTATGTCACTACGATTAGTATAAATAGAGTTACGTAGACACAATTCATGCATTTGTATAAATAGAGTTACGTAGAACAAATTCATGCATTTATTGTTTCTTTTTATTACTATCATTCAAAATCTTATTTGAACGTCGAAAGTGTCTCCACATATATTTCACACTTTTGGAGATATTGACAACTGAAAACTTGTTTGGATTTTAAGTTCATCTCAGGAAATTACTTAAGTACTCTTGAGTAAGTATAGAAAATATAATTTTACTTTTTCCAAAAATTACTTTTAAAAAATATATTTCTAAATTCTAGAAATTACTTTACAGTAATAATAAGAAAAATTATTTTACAGTAATAATAAAAAAAATGTTATTTCTAATTGATCATTCATCCTAAAATCAACTAGTGGTATCTTTTAAATCAAAACAATAACTTTTTAGTTGACAAAAATTAGGATTTAAAGAATAATAAAAATACGTGAATTTCTTGATTGGTGGAGAGAAAAAATTGAGAAAGAAAGTTAAATAGAAGAATAAACTAAGAGTATTTAAAGAGAGATAAAGTAGTGAAAGAAAATAAGTAAAGGGAGAAGGGTATATAAAAAAAAATAGATTTTGAAAATAAAATTTATCTAAAAAAGGAAATAAATTAAAAGAATATTTAGAAATTCAACAAAAAAGAGAAAAGAGACATATTCTTAAAAAGAGGTGTATATATCATTTGTCTTTCTTAAATAATAGAATTAAAAGCTCATAATACTAACTTTTCTCCAAGTTTGTTGTTTATTTAAATTCATTAAGAAAAGGCTAATTTTAGAAAAATAATTTTATTTTAAGATTTTTTTTAGTCTAACTTCTCCTTTTTTAAAAACAAATTAATCCAAAAACTACTTTATTTCTTGTCTGTATATTAAAAATCTAGAGGGTTATAATAAAAAAAACCCTATATTATGTGGTATAAATTATAACGTTTTACAAATTTAATTATATACACTACTGAGTAGCATTAAAGAGCATGTTTTATCTTCACCAAAACTCAATTTAGGGTGGTAACTTGTCAAAGTGTCATATATGATTAGTCTGGAAAAACTTTGAATAAATAGGGTCTTATCCCATCGCTTGAATGGGCAACTGGCCGTGCTTGAAAATGATAAACCATGTTCATCAGAAGCAACCTAAAATAGCTTTTACATAGTTAATCTTTGGACGATTTGTGTCCCAAAATTCACCGCCTATCCCTTTGCCCAATACACCAAAAGAGACTAATATTAATATCAAGTAATTCCCAAAATACAAATGGCGTTACTTGAACTATAATTCTTTGGCTGATTGATCAAAGGCACTTTTCCAAACTATTTATGTAAATAGGGTTATTTTCAAATTATATACACTTCTAGGGTATTTTATAACGATGTTACTTTGGGTCATAACGACACCATTAACACGTGAAATTTTTAACCAAACAAAGTCGTTATATGTTGGAGTGATTTTCTTAAAGTTGTTATAGGCTACATCACCACACAAAAAATAAAATTAATATATTTTTTATTATTAAAAAAAATGAATTATCTAAAGGTGCTATGGGCCATAGCGACATAATGTCGTTATGGACCACAGCGACACAATGTCGTTTTGTATATTATTTTTTTTGCAAATATTTACATTTTATTTTAAAATTTTTGTTTTTATATTTTAATTAAAACTACACAAATTAAAAAATTAAATTAAATTTATATTTTCAGTATTTTGTTTAATATAATTAAATTTATATTTTCATTAATTTTTTTATAAATTTAAATAAAAATAATTAATTTTGTAGTTTAAATAAAATTTTTTGTTTAAGTCTATTAATAATTTTTTGATATGTTAATTTAAAAAAAAATTGGGCAAAAAATAAGTAATTAAAATAAAAAAGAAAAAAAAAGGAAAAATAAGTGTTTATGGGCAGCGACACCATTTTTGTATATTATTTATTTTGTAAATATTTAAATTTTATTTTAAAAAATTCTTTTTTATATTTTTAATTAAATAACTATAGAAATAAAAAAATTTAATTAAATTTATATTTTCAGTATTTTGTTTAATATAATTAAATTTATATTTTTAGTAATTTTTTTATAAATTTAATTAAAAATAATTAATTGTGTAGTTTAAATAAAGTTTTTGTTTAAGTCTATTAATTTTTTTATATGTTAATTTAAAAAAAAAACTGGAAAAAAATAAGTAATTAAAATAAAATATAAAAAAAGGAAAAATAGGTGTCGCTACGGGCAGCACACCTTTTTTGTTGAATTCTGACTCTTTTATTGAAAAATTGTTGAATGCGAATCGAATTGACAAATGTGAATTGCAGAGTGGAAAATGATATTCATACTCACTAGCTAGTAGCTACTCATTAAGTGAAATCGGAAACAAATAGTTTACCTGTTCTTATTTTTTACTTTCTTGATTATTTTTTTCTTTTTATGTATTTAAATATTTAAATAAGTGACGTTATAACCTATAGCGACACAATGTCGCTATAGGCTATAGCAACCTTATTTTTTTCATTTTTTTTTTCTAATTATTTACTTAATTTCTTAATTTATAATTTTATTTTATATTATGAATTTAATATAAATTTAAATTTATAATTCTGTTTTATATATTTATTTTTTTTGTAATTTATTTATTTATATATTTTATTTTATATATTTAAATTATTTCTTTCAGTTTATTTTTTTTATGTATTCAAATATTAAAATAAGTGACGTTATGGTCTATAGTGACCTCTTTTTTTTTTTAATTATTTACTTATTTTTTTATTCCCTTTCTATTTTTATCAAATTTTATTTTTTTACTTTTGTGAAATTTTAATTTTTATAAAATTCCAATGTAATTACATGTATATTATAATTATTTAGTTTTCTTTTTTTAAAAAAAATTAGAATACCAGAGTCACTATAGCCTGTAGCGACCTTGTGGCGCTATAGGCCATAGCGGCATAGCTTTTTTTTTTTAATTTTTTTCTAATTTATTTTAATCCATTTTTATTTTACAATTTTTTTCTTGCAAATTATCTTTTTTTACAATTTTATGATTTTTCTTTTGCGTTATTTTAATATTTTTTTTTAACTTAAGTTTATTTATTTATTTATATTTTATATTTTTTAAAATGTTTTAACTTAATGCTATTTCTATTTATATAAATAATTTGTTTTGCTAAAAATATTTATTGTTTTTTAAATTATATTTATACACTATACAAAAAATTTATAATTAATTACATTTGTTCAAAAAATTTATATACGAAAATTTTAAGTAAATTATTTTTAAAAAAAATATTTAATTGGTTGAGCTGTAGCCTACAACGACTTCTTTGAAGCCTGTGTCGTTATAGCTTATAACGACTTTGTTGAAGGTGCTACTGGCTGTAGCGACTTTAACAATATGGCGTTCATGACTTCTAAAAATTAAAAAAAGGACATGTGACACTGGTGTCGCTATGGCCCCATAGCGACACTATTGTAAAGTACCCCAAAGGCTTAAATAGTTTTGAAACAACCCCATTTAGGTAATTAGTTTCTCAAACTGTCCTACAATGGTCAATCAGCCTAATTCTTTTCTAGCAAAACTTACCCAATTTTATTCCATTTTTGTTGAAAGAAATCGTTTAAAATCAACCCTAAACCAACATAGTTAAAGGTGAACCAGATGTTCTGTACATGATCCAATCCTTTACCTGTCTCAGTAATCAAATGAATGGTCGCAATGACTCGTCAGCGTGAGATGGTAAGAGGGAGAAGGGTTTGTGTGCGGAGTTGGGTGGGGGCAGATCAGAGGTTGATGTGTAAATGGGATAGAAAAGCTACAAATAATTTTATATAAGCTAATTCAGATATTAGCTATACATCTGATATTGAGAGTCAATTTTTGTGAAAACAATATCCAAAGAAGCCAAATCTATGTCAAAACCATAACTCTGTCCTCCATACTGCACATATAGATGTTCTTTGGGTGATATGGGAGGAGGGAGAATTTCAGAGATTTCTGGTAACTCTGGTGTAGGTGGAGGCGAAGTTTCTATCTTCTTAGTGTAGTATATATCAGCTAAGAGAAGCCACACAAGATCAGGATCAATAGATGCAAGTCCATGGAGGGCATTCAGAGAAGCATCTCGAAGTCCAACAACACTGCTACAAGCTATCCCCACAACCAGACCACTTACCTTCTTCAGAACAAGTTCTAATGCAGAGGCACTGCTCTTATTACGGCATAAATCAGCAATCATGTTTAGCACTGCAATCTGAACCTTAAGATAGGACGTCTCTGCCAATGAATCCTCTGAACTCACGGGACTGCGTCTGTAAGGTAGTTGTAAAGGGGCCTTCTCATCTTTGAAATATGACATTTTATGAAATGGGGACGTGGTCAGAAGTTTCCAAAAGTGTGTTCCATCAGTGTGGAAACGACGTGTGAAGAAATCTCCTCCACAAACTGGCACTACATTGCTGATCACATTCAAACATCTCCGGATAGCCTGCCATCACGAGTTAGATTCATAAAGTATCTCTTAAACAATCAACCATAAGTCAAAACACAACATTAAGTTGACTTAAGGTGATGAAGGAAATTCCACAAGGGAATTCCTACAATCACCAAAGTGAGCGAGTTTAAGTTATTATTTATATCCAACTATGGAAAATATCATTGAAAATCCAATCTTAAAGCAAGAAATGACCACTAAAGAGGTATTGCTCACCACTGGGTTCCTGTTCTGAATACAAGTAACCAGGAATGGCCATATTTTATTCATTGCCGGAAGCAGCCTGTTCTCATCAGCCCCTTCTTCATTAACATCCAAAGTATCCTTCAGCTGATACAATGATAGTGATTGCAGCACTTCTTCTGTTGCTTCCTTAATTTCTCTTTCATGTTTATAAGCTGATTCTACTTTTGCCAATGCCAACGTGCCACTCTAAAACCAGAAATAATCCAAAAAACAATGAGAAATACAAAATAAATCTAATGTGAAAGATGATTTAGATTCATACTCAAACTGGCAGAGAAATTAAATTTATTTCACACAATAGATATCATTATCTATTTTCAGCAGCTTGATACCTAAAATCACAATGGTTATCTTATTTCTCTGTTTATTTTCAAATTTACACTGTTTATTCAGAATGTCTGAAGAAATCCATACTGATAAAGAATATATTCTTCTCATATTTACATCAATGGCTAAAATGTTTTGGAGTAAAAGCATTTGAACCAAAAGATACCTCAATTATATCCAGGGCAGCCAAACATATCTCTTGCTTGAATGATGCTAGAAGTGGAATTGCAGCAGTAATACATGAACCAGCAATAGAACCAACTGTTCGTCTATATCTTCTAGAATCATTTAACATGAATAAAATGTCCTCCCACTGGTCTACAAGCAAAACATTTCACTTAGTAAGAATTGACAAATCATCATTACCACAAGAACAGGTATGACATAATCTGTTTAATGCAAAAGCACTGATATAAGTCGTACTATACTGTTGTATAACAACACACTCGAGGAAAAAATAACAGTATTAGTAATACAATTACGGGTGTGAACCTAGTAAACTCTTAGGAGACCTAGCACACAGCCAGCAAGATCCTAATAACATGAACATATAAATGATTGATATACTATGTAGAATCAAGGTAAGAGTTGTCTAATTTCTTACTAATTATTTTCATTTGTTAGGATCCAATTGCAAGGTATGGAACCTGAGGATCGAGTCCCACATTGGATGTACGTGGTTCTACTCTATCACACTATTTTAAACATACCCTTTCTCATTGGTTGAAATTTATTTAAAAATGCAAAATTTGGTGGGTCTCACCCTATTTAATGACTCTCACCAGATTTTGACTTTCAATAAATTCTAACCAATAAAAGTGTGTGAAGAAGAGTGTTAAAGAATGTGTTTCTACTTTCTAGCACTCTTGCAAAGCATGGGATATAGTTGTCAATATGGTTTTGGCTAGTGAGCCAACCTGGATCACAAGAAGTTCGAGTTGGGTTGGGTTGGAAAAAAATTGGTTCAACTGTGTGTATTGTAGGTCAAATCATTAACGCCTTAAATCATTGGAAAAAAATTGGTTCAACTGTGTGTATTGTAGTTTGAGTTGGGTTAGGATCCATTGATACTATTCAATCAAATTAGTGAAATGACACACTCAAAATTTTTTTATAGATTGTAAATTTAACCAACCCAATTGTTGTGTTTGATGATATTACACTCATGATCATGCATATCAAATTTCAAATGATTTGGACTCTTCTAGATATGTATTTGATAATAGATATTTACATGTGTTTTAAATATCATTTTATACATTAAAATAAAGTGATATGATGAACTATCAAATAATTTTAGAATTATATGCAATTTAATATACTTGATCTAATTAGTAATATCATCAAATACAACACCATGATATCAACAAATCTTGACTCATATTTTAGGTGAGTCAACCCTTATAACCCACCAACCCCTGATGGGTTGAGCAGTTGAACTAGATCGACTATTTTCAAGCTTGCCAAAAGTAAGACAGGTTGGGTTGGCTCACTTTCTGGCCAGCCCATGGTGGATCAACCTGAGTGAGCTGGGTTGGCTCACTATGAAACTTGAGTCTCACATTGGAAGTATGGGATTTTAGTGTGGGGTTTAAAAGACTTTGGGCTCTCCAACTACAATAGCTAGCTTTGGTGGTGTAGTTATCCCAATGTTCTTTAACACACATTAACATTATACTATTATTTACATAAGTCTTAAGAATTAGAAGATAGTTGTTGATAATTCTTAATGGCTAAGAGTCAATTTTATTGTTAATTTCATTGATTTTAAAAATCTCAACATGTTGTGATAAGTAAAAATTTATGGATCCTAATATAGTAACATAAAACTGTTCTGACAATTAATTGCTCCATAATGGATCAAATGTGCTCTCTTGAAGACTAATGTAAACCTTTATCAGCCATTTTCTAGCTATTTAAATGGAACTAGTACTACAAAATAGTTCTCTTGAAGACTAATGCAAACCTTAAGTCCTTAATTAATCATTCATGGATTAGAAATTTTATGCAATTTTCTTTTTAAGTTTATACATGAAGCAAGAAATCCTCTTCTTACATATATAAATTAGAATAATTTTTTTGAACAAGAGTTTCTTGGAGACCATTCTTCAATGAGTGTTTTTAACTATTTTCTCAATGAAAGCGTTTTTAAGAATTTTTCTTAGCATATTATCTCTTTTAATCTATCATTTTTTTAAAATACAATTAATAGTTAAAAATAATCTTGTATGTGTTAAAATTATTCATTTATTACAAACTTTAATTATAATATAATTTATATATTCAAAAATATTTATTTATTGTAAATTTTGGTTATATAAAATAAAAATGTATTTTGTGCATTGCACAAGATAAAATACTAGTTCTAGAAAATCTGGATACTCTCGATATATGCAAGGACAAATAGTTTTTTCTTCTTTCTCTCTGCCTCTCTTTTTGGAGGGAATTTTCATAATCTTAAAAATAAAATATTGTAGTTGGGTATCGAGTTATGTCCATCTATAGGCTTATAGGGGCATAGATTGTTGCTTTCCCATAGTGAGTTATTTGAGCATTTTATTCATGTTCAGTAGTAGTTAGTAACTGGCTGACATGATTTTTTCATCAGCCATCGATTAATTTGAGCAAAATAGGTTTTGGTTGGACTTCTTGAAAGTCCATGTTTTGATCACTAGTTCTACGTACGGGATATCTCTTGTCATCAATTGATCAAGAATTCAATTTAAAGAATGACTTTGAAGTTACCACTAGTCAGTGAAGGGATACTTAACTCTCAACAGCTTACGTTACTTTGATCAAGGCAGTGTAAAAAGATTAGTAGGACGAATGACAGTAAAGATGGATGAGAATGGTTGGAGACCAAAGATGCTAGTGTTAGTTGTGCGAATGTCAGATAAAATGTCATGTAGAGCAGCTGGAATGAACATCGAGGTGCTAGCTGATGTACAATCATTTAAGGCAGTAACTAGGAATTAGAATAAATGGAACATTGAACATTTGTTTCATTGACATAATATTTGAATTGTCAAGGTGGTAGCTGGTATACAATCATTTAAGGCAGTAACTAGGAATTAGAATCAAGGGAAGATGGAACACTTGTTTCATTGACATAATATTTGAATTTTTCTCTTACAAATTTTGCATTAATAACATTACAAATGTTTGTAGGCCTTGTGTGGAACCCATGGTGTAGATCTTATGAAAGAAGCTTTGCTGATTCTACAACAGCTGCATCCACTTCAATTTTTTGTGGTGGAACTTCCAAAATCTATAATCCACTTCAAGACCTCTTATTGTCAAGAGATAATTTTTTTAATATCTAAATTCAACAACGAAGTAGATGGCCAGATACAGCCTAAGGAATATCTCCACTGAATTTATCTTAAAATCAAGCTTATCATCAGTCAAATTTTGAAGTAGGAAGAATGTCAGAAAGTTGCCTTAATTGTGGTCACCACTCACCACTAGCCCACCTTAGTTGCAGCCTCTTTGGAGGTTACCTTAATACAGCTTCAAGGGTGGTGTTTTAATCATGCATTGGCCAGAGATATGGTTTAAGTAAAGCTTGTTAAGTTTGGGTGCTCCTTACCTTACAAACCGATTTTGTGGGATTGAATTGAATCCTAAGACCAAATTCTAAGATAATATCATAACATATCCTAGATTCATTGATGGGTCACCTGCATTTGCCACGCTCCAGGCCAATAGTCCTGGGATGGAGGGGGAGTGTTGGAAAGCCACCTAAACTCGGTCACCCCTAGCCCACCTTAACTGCAGACTTTAGGGGACTGGCTTAATTGTAGCCTCCAAGGTGGTGGTTTAGTCCCACTTTGACTAGAGATATGGCTTAAGTAAAGCTTATAAACTTGGGTAATTCTAACCTTACAAGTCAGGTTTGTGGAGTTAAGTTCGGTCCTAAAGACCAAATTATGAGAAAGCATATCATTGCAGGGTCATGAATAAGCTGCATGGTGTACTCACGCACCCAAAAAGCTAAATAGGTTTAAGAAGTCACCGTGGGAGAAGGAAGCTAATAAACAAGTGTAACTGAAAGGTGAACTCTGCTAGAGAATGCTACAAATTGAAGAAAAGTCAATGATGCAAGATTCAAGTTTCCAGGAGAACTAAAAAAAACAAAACTCTAAGAGGTGGACTGCAATTCAAAACCTTGTGTTGTTTCTTCCGAATTGGAGATTATAGACCTGACATCTCTGGTAAACGACTCAGCCTGCTGGGGCAACAGGAAAGCTTCATGTTTTGATGCCTTCACAATTTCTGCTACTGCCTGCAATCAACCAATTTACACAGCACTAACTGATATTAGAATTAAGTATATTTTTTGAGACCTAAAGCCCTTCTAAGATGCATGAAATAGGAAATGAATTGCAAAAAGAATACCCATAACTGCCTGTAAATAATATAAAAAAAAATGGTAAATATGTCAAGTTGTAAATATTTAGAAAGAGCTGTCCCAAATGTGGCTTCAAGGATAGCATAAGAGGATTTTCTATTACAAGATGAAAGAAGTATATTAAGAGATGGCTTGATTAAAAACCGTCAGAATATTGGGGTTATTTGTCCTAGTGTTTGTGGTGGGCTTGGCTTATTTAACCCGTGCTTAGTAAGACTAGTAATTGACATAATAGTATAACCAGGAGTTTAGGTTAAGATATCACATTAACATTTGTCAAACATTTTCAGTATATTATTGTACTATTAGTCACTGGCTCACTGCCATCTTCTCTATTCCTTTTTTTTACCTATACGGCTATACTCCTATAATTTCAACAAAAACAAAACACCAATAATCTGAATCAAAAATCAAAAATCCGTACACATAAAAATCCATAATCAACAGCTCATGTTTACCTAAATTCTACGGGAAACAAGAATCCCAATTTTGATTGTCAAGTAATCTCACTCCATCAAAGAATATTCCTATGATCATTTTTATTCAAGTAATCTAATTTTTACCCTTGAAATCCCATCAAATTATTTTTTCCGAGGGGTTGAGGTTTCCTCTCATTTTCACAACTTAACCAACTTATAAAGCGAGGATTGTCCTTCACTTATATACTTTATTTTGACCTTAGTTTTAGTCGATGTCGGACTTGAATTTTTCTTAACACAACCTCATATCAAATAGTATTGGGCTTGGTGCATAGATCAATAATGGGTGGTTCTTTCTAATAGATTTAAGATAACTCTGATATCATCTTAAAATGTGAATTTGATCTTAACTTAATCCTACAAAACCGTCTTGTATGAAGAGAGTTACCCTCTACTTGTATACTCTATCTCTGGCCTATCACTAGTTGAAGGACTTGGTTTTTCCCAATATCTCAGAGCAACACACCCACACCACCTTCTCTCTGTTCTGCACACTCCAGACACCATTCTCCTGTAGAATTTCCAGTGACACCCTATCCTAACACCCGTCCTCTCTATTCATAACTCCGAAGCACACCCTTCTCTGTTTCTGTGCGACATTCTGATTCCTGAAGCCACTAGCCATGGTTCTAAAATTTATAATAAATAGATACTTTTCCGTATAAAAATCATTTCATAATTGAAATAATAATAAATAAATATTCTATATTATGATAGAGTTATTATTAATCATTGATAATTTATTTTTTAAAATATTGAAATTTAATTTTGAAATAAAAATAAAAAGTGACAGATTAAAAAACATTATATTTAAAAAAAAATCCCCAAAAATGTTCTTGTTGAAGGAAAATAGCTAAAAACACTCTTATTAAAAAAATCTTGGGACATTTTATGTACAAAGGATTTACTTGTTACTAATATAATCTAACCTGTGTTCTTCTTTAGATCCACTTTTTTTAACTCCGATAATATAAAAAATCGAAGAAATGCATAAGAAATGAATGCAATTTCATACTATGTAAGTTTAGTGAAATACATAAGATATAATTCAGATTATACCACATCACTTATTTTACTGGATCTTACGGAGCCTGCTCATCCAAAATAAAATAGAGTTTGATCATTGAATAATAGTTCCCAAAAAATTCTTGTTCAAGATAATTATTTTAATTATACATAGAGGATTATTAAAATATAAAAAAATAGTTGTAAAAGTGTATTAAATAAAAAATTACTTTTTTAATTTTTTTTTAAAATTTCAAAAATCGGTTTTAAATATAACCGGTTATATAACCAAATTTAGTTATAACTGGTTTTGAAAATATAACCAGTTAATTAAAAATTTTAACAGGCTTTATCAAATCAAAATTGGTTGTGTAAAATCAGCTATGATTGAACATAATAACCACATTCATAAATGGTTATTAAATGGTTATAGTTAGGTTATTTACGAACACCCCAAATCATGATGATACTGATTCTGACTAGGGAATTGCTTTTATTGAATGTTGAAGATACTAAGTTTTCCAAATTTCAAATGCATTGTTGTGAAAACAGAAAATGACTGGTGTATTTTGATTACCAATTATGAAATATGAATATCCTTAATTTTGGGCATGTCTAAACTTTTGATTATTTTTACATTCAAGCTTTTGTATCTAATACCTATCATTTCTCTATAGCAGCCCATCCTGCTATAGCATTTCTGGGGCTGACTACTACTATATGTCGTTATCCAGGATTGACAAGTAAATTACTAGTCATAAAATGAATAAATTAAATATAAAAACATAGGCATTTGAAACCTTCAATTTTGAAAATTTTCAAACAATTTAATTGATAGATTGTTTCATTTCTGAGAAGATATTGCATTAAGCTTAATGTTGATTGAAGAAAATTTCAGAAATGATGAAAGACAACAGCTTTTTTTTTTTTTGAATGGGAAACTAATTAAAGAGGAAAATTATTAATTTGATTAAATATGGCAGCTGAAAAGAAGTGATACAATATGAGAAAGCAAGTGTCAAAATATTTAATCATGTCTTATAATATCTTTAGATTATTCTTTAGGATTAGTTTCCCTATTTCCTCATTATCTCCTAGGATTGGTTAGTTGATGGTTACCATTCTTTTTTTATCTTATCATAATTTGTTTGATTGTTTCCCTAATTAACTAGATTATGACTAGTATAAACAAGGGTTAGTGCTCTATATTTAATGAACACAACAAACATGTTAATACATGTAATACATCTCATTTAATTTCGATTTGTGTTTTATTCTTTTGTCCCTGTCTCCCAAAATACATAAAACACCATAATTTCATTTAACAAGTTATATGGACGGCTGTGGCCTGTCCCGTCACTACTCTGCTGCATAGCTCCTTAAAATTTGGAGTTCCTCTTTCCTGTTGGAACCAGATCAACTATGACAACCTGGTTGCGTGCAGATGCACATTTAAAAATTATCATATTTTCAAGAATAAGGACTTGAACTAGAATGATAAGATTCAATATGATATTTTCTTATATTTCTTCACTTTTGGAAATAGATGCATTGGCTACAACTAGGATATAGAACTTGGAGTATTTAAATAATATTAAATAGTTAGGCAACCATTATCCTCCCTCTTTTAAACCCTAACAGGATCATATGATGGTAGTATTTAGAAAAACCTGAGATAGCACGATATCACTTTTTAATCACTTTTTGGGGCTCTACCCATGGTTTTCTTTCAGGTGGATCTCCATGTCAGATAATGAGCTTGTTTATTTACTATGTTCTTACTTAATCCCTTTGAATATGGTTGCTTGAATTTACCTACCAATCCTCATAACTACAGCATACTTTCTAAATAAAATCCACTCAATAAGGCAGTGGAATCACAATTTTAGATTGAGCAGATAAAATGTGTGCACACTGCACACACACAGAAAGAAAGTAAGGAGGGGGTAGCTTGTGACAGACCTTTAAGAATGGAACTGTTAGATCAGGATGTTGATGTCTACCCAGTATTTCAAGTTCCGCTGACACAGATCGCATCTGTTCAATTGCATCGTTAGACCATAAGACTTTAACCAATAAAGTGTAAGCATTTTGGAAGGTAATTATTTGCTTTGTATATACACAATGTAATCCAAGGCAATAAAGTTTAGAAAATGACCAAATGAATGCAACTATTAAACGGACAATACCCATACAAATTGAGCATTATTAAGAAAATCAACCCTTCTATGGTTTTTGAAAAACACATTAGGAACATATATCCCAAACTACTAAAGCCCATCAAAAGACGAATTATTACAATATAGCCTAAAAATGAGAAAGTTACCCTAAAATGGCAATAAAAGGATATGGTCATACCGGTTCCTCAAGTAGAGGCAATATCTTGTGAGCCACTCCAATGTAGGAGAGCATGGATGCTAGCACATTTGGCACATGATGATTAAGGTCCAAATGACGTAATTGCCGACATATTGAATCAATCACATAGTCTGCATTTTCCAAAACTAACTGTCCAACCTACATTAATGCACATATGATAACAGTTAATACTCATGGAAAAATAAATAAATAAATAAATGAAGCTAATGACCAACAAACTAACTGTTGGGCAGCCAGATGTAGTGGAAAGTATATGCAAGACAGAATCTGCTGCTTTTCTAACTCGGTAATTTGAAGAACTAAGATTCTCCAGCAATAAATAAAGTGAAGAATGAAGAAATCCACTTGAAACAAAATCTCTTCCAAGGCATAGATTAAAGATTCCTACTCCATCAATAATAACCTGTTTTACAATAAGGAAGCCATTGTTGATGTCATGTCAAACTTTAGAGATAAATTGAGAAAGAAACAAAATTACAATGAACAAACAGCCATGTCAACTTATGAAAACAGTATCTTTCCTCACGTAGCATTGCAGCATCTTGGAAAAAGTATAGACTAATATCTTCTTCAACTGCAGCAATAAGCTGCAAGTCAGCAATTCTGCGATCAATTGGAACATTCCAAACCTCAGCAGATAAATACTCGTGTAAGATCCCACCAATGCACTCAACTAAATAACTCTTTACACCTTTATCATTGGGCATCTTCCAGAAAGATGGTTGAAATGCACAATCATGTTTGTTAGACTCAACCCGAACTCCTCTGCTTACACTAGAACTATGAAATATTCCAGCAAAATCATTAGTTGCTTGATCTGATAGACCAAATATCATTTCATTTAGCATGCATGCAGCTGTGCTAGCTTGCCGCAATAACTGTCCAGAACCATTCCTGTCATACCAAGACTGCCAGCTTTCTTTATTGTATTCTTTTAAACGAAGCTCGGAAACCAATTTACGGAAGTAACCAAGAAGGGTCTCAATCACATGCGACAGAAGCCCTTCACTTATATGATCTAGCAATGACAAAGGTAACGATTTCAGGATAAAGACAAACACTCTGAGAGCTATTGAAAAAAGAAAATTGAATTGGAAATCACCTGCCACTAAAGATAAACCCACAAATCGAAGAATCCTTGCAAGAGGCTGGTATAACTTATGACTACCAACATAATTAAACCAAGGGGGCATGCGAGGAACCTCATAGTTATTTTGAGCAGTTTTTACAGGTTCTTCTATACTTTTTTCCTCAATAAGCCTGTGCTTAGGAACATCACATAAACTATAATTTATAAGAGGGAAGCCATGATTCAAGAAATTAGCTCCAGATTTCAACTCAGCTATGGAGGGAAGATATCCCAGGGTTGATGCTCGATCTGTTGAAGTGATTTTTTCAAGCGAACCAGAAAACACTGAATTATGGCTTAGACATGAAGCAAACAAATCCAGGAATCTAGCAGCTTCAACCTAATAATTTTCAAGCATCAGAACGGAAGTCTGTGGAAGTAAATCTGAAAAGGTTCTCTTAATGCTTAATGCATAAAATATGTACACAAAAGAGATGTGACCCATGTTTTACTACAAGAGTGTGAGAAGCCATATTTCATCGCATAGAATGTAGGGAGTAGGGAAGCAGGATTAATAAGGACCTTTTATGATTAACATATCAGTTCTAGATTGAATACGGAGTATTAAAGGCATATCATCTTGGTATGTATTGAATGATATTGGGCCAGGCTTTTACTAGTCGTACTATAGTCTCTAATTTTTCAGATTAAATAGGTACACAGGGAGCATTACTCCCAATCCTAATTAATAAAGACAAAAGAATCTTGAAATATAATGAAATATGGACTCCTAAAACTACATCTAAAACATTCCAACTTCCAATACAAAATAAGAATATTAGATATTTTATAGAAATTCATTCTAACCCTCAACCTCAAGCTAAAGCTTACTAAGCTTTAAGCTTGTTATAATTGAACACACTAAGAAAAATAAACTAAAAATGTGACAGCATTCAGGATTAAAGACCTCTAATCCAAATTAAACATGGAAGCAAATAATGAAGTATAATGAAATTAGGAAACCACTTCTAAGAGGTAAAATAAGCCTAAATTTTCTAAAAATTACAACCATATTTTCTTGATATTCTAGCAATAACAATCATATTTTTTCCATATAATATAGATGCCATGTCATTGAGATGCAATTGGTGTTATATTTAAATTCAAGAATATTTTGGACGTACACCTTAACTAGTTGGGAAGTTTGCTATAGACCCAAAATGGAGGAGGTTTGGGTCTTGGTAATTTGGTCTCTAAAAGCATTGCCTTCACATCTCAATAGCTTTTCCTAGCCTTTATCATCTCTCTTTATTGCACAATGCTCCTGTTATTCAGTTTTATTCTTTAACTCACTAAACAGTTTCTGAGAATTTTCACTTTTGATAGGGAATTTTCTGAATGTCAGACTAAGAGTAGTTGGATTCAACCTCTCTCTCACCTAATCCAGAAAAGAGGATTTATCCCTACTACCCTAGACAGTTCAGGTTTATTTTCCTGCAAATCATCCTATCAATTTCTGATGTCAGCTCCCACTAATAATTCCTTTCCTCTGGAATAGGAGTATTTGCAAATCCCATGCTCCTTCAAAGGTCAAAACCTTTAGACTGTGGACCCTTGATAAGATTAATACAAATTATTTACTACAAATTAGAACACGGTCAATTTTATCTCCTGATTTCTGTGTGATGTACAAATAATTTATGAATCTTGTTCTCATTTGTTCCTGTGTTTGCCTATCAGCATCATATCCTTGGAATAACTTGTTTGGTGTTTTTGGTGAATACTGGGTCTGTTCCAATGACCTTCAGAGTCTTCAGCAGTTTCAATGTGCTAATTTCAGAGTAATTGACTATATAGCAGAGACTTTGAAAAGCTTTGGTGGTGTTCTCAAACTGCAGTTCTTTGTTGTATTTGGTTGAAAAAAAATGTAAGAATCTTCTCCTAACATTAATCTCCTATCAAGTTTATTTGGGATCAAGTAGTTTTGCTTGCTTCTTCATGGTGTTCTGCTCATGGTCATTTTAGAGGGGTGTCCTACTTAGAACTCCAGAGAAATTGGCATGCTGTGTTGCATGTTCATGATTTATGCTTTCTTTTTATCCATTTATTTTAGGCTGTCACTTTAGTCCTTGTGGATTTTTTTATCCTACTTTTGTATCTTCCTTTTCTATCTTAATAAATTATTTTCTTATCAAAGAAAAAAAAATACAATATACTCAAATTTCTCCCATATGATTAATATTATTAATTAGTTTCTTCCATGATCACCAAACAAAAATATTTTCTTCCATGATCACCAAAAAAAATTAGTTTCTTCCATTATTCCATATCAAGACAAGCATATCTAAGGAAACAGATAAAATCATTATTGCAAAACATACAGGAAAATTTATTATAGATGTACAGCAAGAATATGTGAAATTATTATAGAAGCACATACAGGAGACTGAAGATGATCCACTAATAGACGAGGACCGGAATAAAATATTATTGTTAGTAGTTGCTGAGCATGTAATACAGCAAGTGACTCCTCATGGCCAAGCACCACTCTAGGAAGCTTTTCAAGGTGCCTGAATTTGAAAGAGGAAATATTTCTATCAAGAAAAAAACCAAAGGGAAAATCAACCTTAATGAGTAATTTGAGAACAAATTAAAAGATGAACCTGATAAATATCTCAGCAGCATTGCGTTTGACAACATGTTTCAAATTTTGTGAGAACAAGCACTCAAGGAAATCTTGTGCAGTTGAAGAAACATCATTAGATGCATCAACAACCAAGGCGCATAAGCACTCCTGAATCATTAGCAAATGATTTAAAACATATAAAATAATTAACAAGAGAAGACAACATGACAGAAGATAAATATACACTAACTAAAAAAATAAAAAAGTAAAATAAAATGAAATACTCCATAACAGTAAATTTTTTTAACAAATTTTTTATAAGGAGTTCAATTTTCAGTCAGTATAAAGATTCTCACACTTTCAACCAATTAGAACCTAACAAAAATCATATCAAGTAGTTATTATTAAAGCCAATAAACTTACCATATATGATTGGATGGCTATGTAAAAAAACATTTACACCGTCAGTGCATTTGCAATCTAATTAAATTCTTTCATAAATAAGGCCATTAACTTTAAAATGATTAATCTTTGCTCTAAATTACATAACATTTTAATGGAGAAATAAAAACAAACAATAAGACTCTTAGAATTTGGGCATAGGGTCAAACTCAACTCCACAATACTAGCTTGTATGCCGAGGATTGAACAAGTTTTATAGACACTACTTAGGCCTTATCTTTAGCCAATGTAAGATCTCAACTCCGTAAGAACTGACGTCTCAACAAGTGCACACTATAATGGTTTATTCAGCCGCTTTTCGAGACATTGGAAACCTAAGGCTATGGAACTAGTGTGTGGGAACGCAAGTGGTCCTTTTAGGATAGACTCTAATATCATCTTATAGTTTAGGCTTAGAGCCTAATTCAACCCCGCAAAAACCAGCTTATATAATAGTGAGGATTGCCCAAGGTTCATACGCATTACTTAGGCCTTATCTTTAGTTGATATGGGATCTCAACCCCCTAAGAGCCAACATCTCAGTGGCTACACACTACAATACTTCACTTAGCCTCCCTGGTCAGCCCCTACATAGGTAGCCCTTTCCGAAACATTGAGCAACCAACTTTGATATGCTACAACTAAGATGGGCTAGGGATGACGGTCATTAAGGCATTTATCCAACAATCTTACAATGTGTGAACAAGGTACATTATCTTGCAATGTTCTAGACTTTAGTACTTATAGGATCCGTAAGAACAGCAACTTCCTAATGCATTTTAAAATATCTCATTCAAAATTTTCAGTTTACAGTTATTAGGTCCCTGCCCCTAAGCCACTGTTTGCATAATAAATGAAATAGAGTGAAAAGAAAAACAAAATGATAGAAATAAAAGAGAAATAGAACAGAAAAAGTTATTATTTGAATCGGTTGAAATAAGGAAAAAAAGTGAAGAAATTTCTATCTGCCTGTTTGGATAAGAGGATGAAAATAAATAATTAAATTGATAAATTAAATAAAAACTTTTTATACTAACTAAAAAGTTAAAAATTAAATGTTTTACTATGTTATTTTTTTCTTAACAAAATTATGAATTTTTTTATGTTAAAAAAATTTAAAATTAGTAAAACAAAATAACTAATGATGCACTTCTTTCCCCCCAATTTCATGCCTCATTAGGGAAAATATAATGTATATGTGGGAGACCCACAACATATACTTCTTATTCTCCTCTCAAAAAAATAGTGAAAAACTGTTATTTCTATCCTATCTCCTCTTCATTCCCTTCTCCCTGAATAAACCATTAAGAGCTAGGGAAGGAATGTAGAACAGAAAGCTGAGTACAGAAACTCATAAGGATACAACCCAGTATTAAGTGCTTGCTAGGGATTAGTTTTCACTAAGCTACAAAACCATTAGCAATTTTTCATTATATGACATCATATCATCAACCACAGTAAAGCTGAGTACAGAAACTCATAAGGACACAACCCGGTATTAAGTGCTTGCTAGGGATTAGTTTTCACTAAGCTACAAAACCATTAGCAATTTTTCATTATATGACATCATATCATCAACCACAGTAAAGCATACAATGGTTATGGCACAAACCTAACATTATTCCCAGTTAACCAGTTCAGAGCTCACCAAAAGCATCAGTCTACTTTCCCCCAGGATATAGAAGCACTCTGACAAGAGTCCTTTTACGGCATCAACAAGTCCTTTTCTCACCTTTGATGAAGGGTGAATACAGATCTGAAATTCAATGATTTTACTGATCACATAAAGTGTTACATTGCAAAATTAAAATATACCAAAGACAGCAAAAAAAAAAAAAAAAGACAAAGAAATTAACGTCATTAAACATACATGTGGAAATGTTGCACTCAACAACTTATTTACATGTGCTGACGTCCTCTGCATCCAACCTTTTGTTCGATTCACATAGAATGACAAGTTCTCTCTGTCAGGATCAGTATTCCCTATTTCTTGGAGTTGAGTTTGGGAACCAGAGATTTTTTCTGACTCAACATCTATATATTCAGAAGCCTTTGTTTTATCAAAATTTTTAACCTGCAAGTGACGAAGCTCCTCCAAAAGAGAAAGTGTAGAATTACACTCATTTGAATCAAAGTCTGAAGATGCTTCAATATCCAGGGCAGGTGCATTAGCATCATCCTGGAGGACTATCATAAGAAACTCTGCCAAAGCTCTGATTGCATGGTCAATAGATTCCACATTACCAGCAGCCCCACTTATCATTGTTTTTGTATTGTGCAAAACTTTAGCTAACTGACTAACAATGCCAGGTAAAAAGAAGGCTAATGCATCTGCAGAACCAACCTGCAAAAGTAAAAGCAACACAATCAATTGATTCAATACCATTTAGATAAAAGAATCCATCAATTATATATATATATATAGGGAAGGGATACACTTACTCCAAAAATAAGTCTTGGTAGACTTAATCCACTTAATAACTCATGTTCTATATCAAATTTCAATGATTCAATCCTTATATTAAATGTTTATAATGTATAAATTAAGCCTGCAAATTTTTTAAAAATTTGAAAATCATATAATACTTTGTTAAATTGATTCAAATTAATGGTTATTCACAAGAGTATATTATGCGTTAATTTGAATTAATGTAACCAAATGTCAAATGATTTTCAAATTCTGTAAAAATTTATAAAGTTAACCTATTCATTAAGAACTCTTAATTCAATGATTAAATCATCAAAATTTAATGTAGATCACGAGTAGTTGAGTGGAGTAAGTCTACTTAGACTTACTCTACTCAATAACTTATGTTCTATACTGAATTTTCAACGATTTAACCGTTAAATTAAAAGTTCTTCATGGCATAGATCAAGTATGCAAAGTTATAAAAAATTTGAAAATTATTTGATACTCTGTTTTGTTAATTCAAATTAATGTAAAAAATATTTTTATGATTGCCCGTCAATTTGAATTAACGAAATGAAGTATCAAATAACTTTCAATTTTTTTAAAACTTTGCAGATTTGATCTATATATTAAAAAATTTTAATTTAACAGTAGGATTGTTAAAATTTGATGTAGAACTCAAGTTATTGAGTGGAGCAAGATTATGTATACTTACTCTTTGAGTAAATGGATCCCGTCTCTCTCTTTATATATATATATATATATATATATATATAGGTGTGGTGTGATTCTCATCTTCCTCTACTCTCCTAGCCATGGACCTTGTGATAGACCCTATATGATGTCTCAAGGATGGTGCTCCATCATCTATTAACTACCTTTGTCTACTCATCAATTTGTGGGTGACAAGTGGTAGAAAATAAAAGCTTAGTTCCTAGCCTTATCTTAGTTCCTAGCCTTGACCAAAGAGTTTTCCAAAAGTGGCTAAGGAACTTAGCATCTTGATCAAAAACTATGGTTTTAAGTAGTCCATGCAACCTAACCACTTCTTGAAAGAATAATTTAGCAAAATTACTTGCATCATCCACCTTGTGGCATGAAATAAAGTGTGCCATTTTTCTAAAATGGTCCACTACCATAAAGATGAAATCCTTTCCTTTTTGGATTCGAGGTTATCCAAGGATAAAATTCATGGAAATATCTACCCAAGGAGAATTGGATATGGACAAGGGTGTGTAAAATCCATGAGGCATAGTTTTGGATTTAGCTTGAAGACAAGCTATGCGTCAAGAAAAATACCTTTGGACATCTCTTTTTATGTGCGGCCAAAAGAATTTCTCTTTTATGATTAAAAGAGTTTTCTCATTCCTAAAATGCCCCATGACTCCACCCTCATGACTCTCTTTAACCAAGAGTTTCCTAATAAATCCTTGGAGTATGCATAATTTATTTTCTTTAAAAAGAAACCCCTCAGAAATATAGTAACTCTGGTAAGGTTTTTGAATACATAGTATAAATATATTAGCAAAATCTAGGTCTTTCTCATACAACTCCTTTATGTCATCAACCCTAGAATTTGGGATCCAAGGGTGTTTAGCAAAACATATCTTCTTGATAAAGCATCCGCTACCACATTGGTGGAGCCCTTTTTATACTTGATAACATAAGGAAATTGTTCTAGATACTCAACCTATTTTGCATGTCTTTTTGTTTAATTTACCTTGGCCTCTCAAATATTTAAGTGACTCATGGTCATTATGAATGAAAAATTCCTTGGTAACAAGATAAAGTTCCCAAGTGTGAAAGGCTCGAACCAAATCATAAAGCTCTTTGTTATAGGTTGGGTAGCTCAAGGCAGCCCCATGAAGTTTTTCACTGAAATAGGCTATAGAGTGACCATCTTGTAACAACATAGCTCCTAGGCCAATGCCTGAAGCATCATATTCTAGCTCAAAAGTTTTTGAAAAGTCAAGTAAAGCTAGAACAAGTGCTTGGGTAAGCTTTTGCTTAAGCTCTTGAAAAACTAAGTTATGCTTTTCTTGCCAATGGAAGGCCACATCCTTCTTCACTAACTTATTGAGTGGTGAAGCTAATGTTGAGAATTTATGAACAAATCTTCTATAAAAGCTTGCCAAACCATGGAAGCTCCTAATTTCACTAACATTAGTAGTAATAGGCCATTCTCGAATGGCTTTGATTTTCTCGGGGTATACATGAACCCCATTTTTACTTACTACAAACCCTAAGAAGATAACATTATCTACACAAAAAGTGCACTTGTCTACATTGGTAAACAAGTTGTTATTCCTAAAAACTAACAAAACTTACCTTAAGTGTCCTAAATGATCACTTAGGCTTTTGTTATAAACTATAATACTATTAACTACCTTTGTCTACTCATCAATTTGTGGGTGACAAGTGGTAGAAAATAAAAGCTTAGTTCCTAGCCTTATCTTAGTTCCTAGCCTTGACCAAAGAGTTTTCCAAAAGTGGCTAAGGAACTTTAATTCAAGACTTGGGCTCTTCCAATTTCCACTTTAAAACCAAAATCCAAAACTATATTTTATGCAGTGCAAGAAAATAGTAAGACTTCAGACGATTTCAAAGATGCAATAAAAGGTAATCCTGTTTGCCCAGTTATTTGATGTATTTTGTTGGAGAGGAATGCTTAAATTTTCCAAAGTGCTTCATTCTTGTAGTGGGATAGAAAAAGCTTTTTTACCTTTGGTTCTCTTCCCATGGCTTCTTTTTTGAAAACAGAGGATTTCAAAGACGCAATAAAAGGTAATCCTGTTTGGTTATTTGATGTATTTTGTTGGAGAGGAATACTCAAATTTTCCAGAGTGCTTTATAGTTGTAACAGGAAAGAAAAAGTTTTTTTACCTTTGGGTCTCTTCCCATGGCTTCTTTTTAGAAAACTTCAATCAAACACACAGGGAGATGAGAAATTTATTGCCTGGATGAACTTCTTGTGATTTTTATATTCCTTTTTTTATCTTTTCTCAGGAAGATATCTTAACTTCCTTTCTACTCATACATTAACCATTTCAGCTCTATAAATACTTCTCTTTCCTTTGCAAAAACTCCTTAAAAATGAATAGGCAGGTTTTACATCTATTTCTCGTTTCTTGTTTATATTTTCTGTTTTCACTTTTAATTACAATATTTGTCATCTTGTTTTCAATTTGTTTCCTGTTTCATTGTGAAAACAAAATATGAAAGCAAAAAACATTTTCTCAAAGTAAACAGCTACTAACTGTTACAACCTTTTCAAAAAGCATATACATAACATTACCTTTGCAACAAGCACCCTCAGAGTTTTGAATGCTTCAATTCGAATTCTTGCAGAACCCCGTTGTCCCCTAGCTGCCTCTGTATCTGCAGTCTTTTCATAAGACCAGATTGGTATTATAAATTCATATAATGTCATAACCAACTTACAAAAAAGAAATAAGGGGGAATTACGTTTAGGTCTCGTTTAATAGAAAGATCTCTGTCTTGATTAGAAGTTATCTTTTGGTATAATGGAATGTGCCTATATACTTTAAATAAAATTTTGTTATTCTGTTATAAAATGTGATTAAGAACCAGTCACCCCCCTCCCTCAACCACACACCCACCCAAAAAATTAATAAAAACATAACTGAATTGGAATTTCTACAAGAAATTCAACAACATACTTTGAGAAGAAGTGATAGCCAGTGTCCAACAGCAGCTAACGCAAATTGAGACTGGAGATATGCAAGTAAACATTCTTCTGATTCCGAATCATTCTTGAAAGTTTTATGAAGCCTATTATTATAAATTCCATCCGAAAGTGCAGGCAAACCAGATATTTTTTTACACAAGCAAGACACGTCAGAACAGGGATATAAACTCAAAAATAGTGCCTTGACACACAATAAAATTCCTTCACGAAACTCCTCTGAAGCCTCAGTGGGTGATAACATGGCTCCGTATGTTAACTTTTTTAGCAGCACAACCATCTGTTAAAGAACATCACAGTTCAGTACATTTGTTTTTATCTCGTAGCAAACAAAATTCTGTCTAGACTGCTGATCAAGGCTAGTGAGGGATATGTACTCTAAAGCATCCATGTGTTAATACAGCCATGGTGCATATATATGCCAACAAGGCACTAATAATTCACTTTGGCTCAGAAAAAACATGTGCCATAATAGAAAAATAAAATAAAAACCTCAACAAACACCATTCCAAAACTAATTCACTGTGACACCAAATTATCAAGGGGAAAGAAAGCTTAGATTACATTAAAGAACACCTATAATGGATGAGCTAAACAATTACAAACCATGAGCATAAACCAAAGGGAGGCAAAATGAACACAAGCTAACTGAGTATAATTGCATCAAATAATATTGCAAAAAATATCTACATTCGTTCTATGTTTCACACTAAAAAAATATTTAGATGGCACAGTGCTTCAGGTATTCTTATGTTTTTGCATATTCATTCCAGTCTCCCCAAATCCACAAGTCCCTAGATTCTTTTTGTTCTTTATATGTTTCTTTGGTTCATTATCATTCCCTAGATGAAAGAAGCATAGTTCTCAACTCATAACTCATCCAGCACACTTAACAATGCCGGTTTTATTTTACTCAACTACTAAACAACAAGCAACTAAAATTCCGAAGTAATACTTCACAATTTGCACAGAATCCAGAGAAAATGTCAAAGGCATATATATACATATCAATCAGCACACCTGATCAACAGAACTCAAATGACACTTCCTCAGAAGCTCCTCCAAACAATTAACCACTCCTTCAGCAACGCCATCACTCACTTGAACAGGTGTTTTCGGAACATCAGGCATAGTATACTTTTCCTCAGATTCAAGTTTCTGCGTTGTTCTGCACTGAATCGCTCCATCGAGGAGCAGAAGCAACGGAAACAGAGTGTAGCTGGAAAACAAAAATCACATGTTACAGTTTAAATATTAAAATTCGCATGAGAAAAGGAGGGAAAATATAGCTGAATCGACGTGTTATATCTTCCTTTCTGCTTATTATTAAAATCAAATTGGACATGAGAATTAAAAACTTTGAATCGATTATAAACTGTTCTACATTAGGGTTTGTAGAAAGTGTAAAGTAGTGATAGGAAGAGTTTGCTTACTCGAAGAAAGGTTGCAAAGTAGAGGGCGAAGAATTGCGAAGGAAACGAAGGAGTTGGGGGATTACGGTGACAGAAGAGTGCTTCTGATTCTCAATGTGAGGGTTCTGCAAAAGGTCGAGAAGGTGCAAGGAGAACGACTTTAATCGTTGGAAGGTGGTGCTTCTGAGTTGCTCAGTTCCGAGTTCTTCTTCTTCTTCGCTGAGGTTGTCCATTTCAAACGTTGAGGACTGAGGGCGTTTCGAATAGATTGTACAACCCAACGCAAGTTCGCGATTAAATATATGGAGTTTGTAACGACGTGTTTGGGTATTTGCCGCTGAAAGCAAACGTGGTAACTCTTCTTGACTTGAGTAGCTCTAAGCGCTGCGAAACGGAGATTACTGCATTCTTGGTGACTGAATTCTCGGAGCCTCAAGTCAGTGCAAGGGATGGCAACGGGCGGGTCGAGTTATGATACCTGTCCGCTGCACAAACTCATCCCCGTACTCTTACCTACACCCGTATTATGTGAATTTCATCCTCATTCATGTCTCTATCGGGTATTGGATATATCCGTACCCATACTCGTACCAGTAAAAAATTATTTTTTTTTCTTACAAAAAAAATATATAATATTTTTAAATTATTTTTCTATCCCTCATGACTCTCTTTAACCAAGAGTTTCCTAATAAATCCTTGGAGTATGCATAATTTATTTTCTTTAAAAAGAAACCCCTCAGAAATATAGTAACTCTGGTAAGGTTCCCTCCACCTTGTACCCACTTTGGAATATATGCATTTTGAGTGAGCCTTGTTGCCTCAAAAAGCCTTCCTTACTCTCCTAGGTCCTCACGGCCACCCTCCTCTCCTTTCCACCCTAGAGTGAGTTTGAGTTCCCTTGAGTGGCCTCCACCATCCCTTGGTGGAGAGAGCTAGCCAAGAGTACCAAAAACACCTTCCACCTTTCCTTCTCCATTTTCATCCACCTTCATCCTCCCACCTTAAAAAAAAAATTATAATTTTCGGGTAATTTCCCACGGATAAATCCGTGGGAAAGTTACCCACGGATAAATCCGTGGGAAATTACCCACGGATAAATCCGTGGGAAAATCCATGGAGTTCGTTGCTTTCCTTTCTTATTTTGCCCTTGTATTTTGGGGTACATTAGATATTAGAATTTTATTTTGTATTTTTATTTAGCCTTTGTATTATGGGGCAAAATTAGTCTTAGGATTTATTTTAGGTTAATAACTATTGTTAGGAATACAATAACTTGGGTGTGTGCCTACCACAACACTAGTATGCAACAAACAAAACTATATGAGATAAACCCACCATTAACCCACCAAATATTTTGCACCTTTCCACCAAATCAATCAAGAAGGTAGATTAACTAAAAAATAGTCTACAAATATACAAGTTAACCTAATCTCACCTATGTATCTTTCTAAGATAGAGGATTCTCTAAGGGTTTTGTGAGAGGCATAAAACCCTAACCCTATCCACCTATGGCTAGCACCAAACCCTGTCCTCTATGTTTCTCGTGTGGATCGAGTAGAGGCACCATCCCCTTTGGTGCTTGGTGATCAAAAAGAAAGAATAAGTTTTTACTTCAATCACATAAAGGACTCTTAAAAAGGCATAAAGAATACTACAAAGGTAAAAACCTAAACCCTTAGTGATAGAGTCCAAAATGGTCTTCAAGTGACTCCGAAATTGAACTCCTTGATCTCTTCTTGATCCTTGAAGGTTATTCAAGGAGAATCCAAGAACAGAAATAGAAGAAGACTCGGCCAAGCTACTTCAATCTTTTCGGTTAGAAGAAAAGCTTCCTCCTAAATGCAATCTCTCATGTAAATGTAATTTTCTATACACTAAGTGGCCAAAATACAAGGCCCACAAACAAAAATACAAGCCCAAATGGGCCAACCTTAATCTACATGGGCTTTAGTGCACACCCCAATTAAAAAGCACTATGGGTTTTTCCTTTGTGTTAGCCCCATGCTTCTCTAGCCTTCTAACCATAGCCTTAGTGATTGGGCCCTTGGTCTATGGGCCTCCATCATCCCCTCCCTCTTGAAGAGGATTTGACCTCAAATCTAGAGAGTCCTCCTCATGCTCATTAGCCCCTACAAAAAGAAAAAGTTCAGATACATTAAAGCTAGGGCTAATTCCATAATCCTCGGGGAAATATAAGACATAGGCATTATTATTTATTCTTTGGGTGATTTGAAAGGAAGCATCTCCTCTAGGGCTAAGTTTGGACTTCTTCTTAGAAGGAAATCTATCTTTCCGAAGGTGAAGCCAAACCCAATCCTTTTCATTGAAAATAACCTATTTCTTTCCTTTATTATTGTATTTTGTGTATTTTCTTTGTTTGAGATTGAATATGATCTCAAACCCTCTCATGCAATTTCTTGAAAAACTCTACCTTAGGTGATCTACCTTCATGAATAAAAGAAGCAACATTAGGAAGGGGAATTAAGTCTGAAGGTGTAAGATGGTTAAAACCATAAATAATTTCAAAATGAGACATTTTTGGGGTTTTATGCACTACCCTATTGTAAGAAAACTCAACATATAGTAGGTAGTCATCTCATGCCTTGTTATTACCTTTAAGAACTACCCTTAACATAGCTCCAAGAGATCTATTGATGGGCTCCTTCCTTCCATGGTGTGTTCTTTAGCTTTTAAGGAGGAGCTCCCTCTTTCTCCATGGACTAGGAAAAAGGATGATCACTACAAGAAAATTCGGTATTTCAGACGGCAAAAATCCGTGGGAAATGCCCAAAATCCGTGAGTAATGAGGCATTTCCGACGGATTACCGACGGACACTAATCCGTCGGTAAATTGGTCGTCTGAAATTTACCCACGGATTTTTATCCGTGGGTAACTTTCCCATGGATTTTCCCACGGATTTATCCGTGGGTAATTTCCCACGGATTTATCCGTGGGTAACTTTCCCACGGATTTATCCGTGGGAAATTACCCGAAAATTATAATTTTTTTTTTAAGGTGGGAGGATGAAGGTGGATGAAAATGGAGAAGGAAAGGTGGAAGGTGTTTTTGGTACTCTTGGCTAGCTCTCTCCACCAAGGGATGGTGGAGGCCACTCAAGGGAACTCAAACTCACTCTAGGGTGGAAAGGAGAGGAGGGTGGCCGTGAGGACCTAGGAGAGTAAGGAAGGCTTTTTGAGGCAACAAGGCTCACTCAAAATGCATATATTCCAAAGTGGGTACAAGGTGGAGGGTCTAGAGTACTTATAGAGAGAGGAGAGCATCTAGGGTTTCTTGGGAGCATTTGGCCGAAAATTTCAAGCCCAAATGCACCCTAGATGCAGCCCAAATGAAATGACTCTCGTATCTCCAAAAAGACTAAAGTACCGTTAGGCCTAGAAAAGGAAAGAAATGGATTTTTGACCTCACAAGTCAAGGTTTAAGTCCTAAAATAAATCCTAAGACTAATTTTGCCCCATAATACAAAGGCTAAATAAAAATACAAAATAAAATTCTAATATCTAATGTACCCCAAAATACAAGGGCAAAATAAGAAAGGAAAGCAACGAACTAAGGAGAGAGCCCAAAATCCACACACATAATGATCATGGCTTTTGGTGTGGTGTGATTCTCATCTTCCTCTACTCTCCTAGCCATGGACCTTGTGATAGACCCTATATGATGTCTCAAGGATGGTGCTCCATCATCTATTAACTACCTTTGTCTACTCATCAATTTGTGGGTGACAAGTGGTAGAAAATAAAAGCTTAGTTCCTAGCCTTATCTTAGTTCCTAGCCTTGACCAAAGAGTTTTCCAAAAGTGGCTAAGGAACTTAGCATCTTGATCAAAAACTATGGTTTTAAGTAGTCCATGCAACCTAACCACTTCTTGAAAGAATAATTTAGCAAAATTACTTGCATCATCCACCTTGTGGCATGAAATAAAGTGTGCCATTTTTCTAAAATGGTCCACTACCATAAAGATGAAATCCTTTCCTTTTTGGATTCGAGGTTATCCAAGGATAAAATTCATGGAAATATCTACCCAAGGAGAATTGGATATGGACAAGGGTGTGTAAAATCCATGAGGCATAGTTTTGGATTTAGCTTGAAGACAAGCTATGCGTCAAGAAAAATACCTTTGGACATCTCTTTTTATGTGCGGCCAAAAGAATTTCTCTTTTATGATTAAAAGAGTTTTCTCATTCCTAAAATGCCCCATGACTCCACCCTCATGACTCTCTTTAACCAAGAGTTTCCTAATAAATCCTTGGAGTATGCATAATTTATTTTCTTTAAAAAGAAACCCCTCAGAAATATAGTAACTCTGGTAAGGTTTTTGAATACATAGTATAAATATATTAGCAAAATCTAGGTCTTTCTCATACAACTCCGGGGCGGGTATGTATACCCATACCCGTATCCGTACCCAGTTTAATTTATCAAATTTTACCCGTAGCCGGTCAAATTAGGTATTTCCCATCAAAGTCAGGACGAATTCAAGTATTACCACGGGTACGGGTTTATTTGTCATCCCGCAACTGAAAACAAACAAACACCGCTCTCAAAACGCGGCAATGCCTACGGGTTTTATGTTGGGTATATGATTTTCATCCTCATTTCCGTCCCCGTCGAGTATCGGGTATACTCGTACCCGTATCCGTACCCGTCAATTTTTTTTTATTTTTAATAAAAAAATATGATATTTTTAAATTATTTTTTTAGATACTCAACCTATTTTGCATGTCTTTTTGTTTAATTTACCTTGGCCTCTCAAATATTTAAGTGACTCATGGTCATTATGAATGAAAAATTCCTTGGTAACAAGATAAAGTTCCCAAGTGTGAAAGGCTCGAACCAAATCATAAAGCTCTTTGTTATAGGTTGGGTAGCTCAAGGCAGCCCCATGAAGTTTTTCACTGAAATAGGCTATAGAGTGACCATCTTGTAACAACATAGCTCCTAGGCCAATGCCTGAAGCATCATATTCTAGCTCAAAAGTTTTTGAAAAGTCAAGTAAAGCTAGAACAAGTGCTTGGGTAAGCTTTTGCTTAAGCTCTTGAAAAACTAAGTTATGCTTTTCTTGCCAATGGAAGGCCACATCCTTCTTCACTAACTTATTGAGTGGTGAAGCTAATGTTGAGAATTTATGAACAAATCTTCTATAAAAGCTTGCCAAACCATGGAAGCTCCTAATTTCACTAACATTAGTAGTAATAGGCCATTCTCGAATGGCTTTGATTTTCTCGGGGTATACATGAACCCCATTTTTACTTACTACAAACCCTAAGAAGATAACATTATCTACACAAAAAGTGCACTTGTCTACATTGGTAAACAAGTTGTTATTCCTAAAAACTAACAAAACTTACCTTAAGTGTCCTAAATGATCACTTAGGCTTTTGTTATAAACTATAATATCATCAAAAATAAACAACTACAAATCTATTAATGCAATCCCTAAGGATATGATTCATAAGCCTCATGAATGTACATAGGGCATTAGTAAG